TAAGTACAACTATTAAAAGGGTGAAAATTCATTCAGGATTTCATTTTTTTTTTTTTTGTTCAAATCCATGAATTTGTTTTGCACATGCTAATCTCGAAAAAAAAACATGCTAATCTCGAAAAATACTATACGAAATTCACTATTTTTTTATCTATAATGTTGAATGTGTGAAAATTTTTCAACTTTTTAACAGGAAAACTCTCCAGTTGTTGTTAAAAAATGCAGCAAAACATTGTTGATTTATTTAAGATAGAATTATCTATTATGACATGTCTCTAATTCGGATTTAGATACATTGTATTTATTTTCAATTTTTCTAGTTGAATTGTTCACCTATATTGCATATGATCCATTATTGTACATCATTAGGTTACAATAAAATTTGTATTTTATATGAATACTACCTTATGAAAATTGAGATGTACTATGCGGGGGGGCTTTTATCATAGATTCGTGGGATGGGGAGCACGTGACCCTTGCACCGACTCAATTTAGCATTGGCCTATGTGAATACCAAAAAATTTCCTCTGAAATAAAATAATTATGATGATGATTATACAAAATGACAGTTCAAACATTAGTTTAAACTCTCCAGAACAGACTTAACCTCAATGAATAATTTTAAAAATTAGACAAAACAATAATCTTTATACAGCAGAATGGAAATAGTACGATTGGGTAGGAAGAGTCATTCTATGTAAATTGTGCAAACGGCTCGCTTTCGACCAACGAAAGAAATGTACTTATTATTATCTTATGTTTTAGTTTGGTTTGTTTTACGGCATAACAGCCTCAATGTGTTTTATTTTTTATTTCAATTTTTATTGCTGGTATTTTTTTTTATTTTCAAAAATGTATTGCTGGTAATAATTTTTCTTCGAAAATTTATTGCTGATAATATTTTTTACAAAAAATATTACTGTTATTAAAACCTATTTTTACACATTTATAGTGTTTTGACCCCATTCTGGGGTTAACTATTACCCATAGCTGGGACCCTAACAGGTTTTACCACCCCGGATCAGGGTGGACCTGGGAACACAAGCAATTAACAGGTGGTTTCACGATTCTCAAAACCTCCTGATCATAGGCCTTGCTGCTGGACGTAGTTTATCGTCTTACCCAGGATGCTATTATGTTTTTATCTTATTACAGGGGTAGTACCTATCAAAGCCGAGAGGAATATTTATCTATGAATCAGCGATAACCCTGAGAATCAGATAATCTGTAATTTCTGCTTAGGATTAAAGAGACGCCCCTCGACCTTTTACCTGGATTTTAACTATGAAGCGTGTTTCTATATATGATATTAAAGACACATTATAGGTTTAAATAGGAATTAATCACACTTAAATGGATACAGTTTCCACAAAAGACCGTCTACAAACCTTCTACAACACTAATTGTGGCAAACAACTAGCTCAAAAGTACTGAACTCCATCAGTAACATAGAACATAGCAGTATAACCCGTCTTCGACCGGGTTTTATATTACTGGGAATTTTTGCCCTTCAATTGGAGTAATTTAAGTTTAAAGTCAGCCAACCTGAAAGCCAATATTAGTAACAACAATTGGGTGCAACTGAGGCACACCCCCAAATGGGGGGGGGTAACAATTTGAATGGGGTTCGCTCTGAAAAGGGCCGATTTTGTGTTCTCAATCTTGCAAGGAAGGAACCTCTTCCATGGACCATAATAATAATAATAATATACGATAATTTTTATTTATAACATAATTTTTTTTATAATTCTAATAATCTTTTGTGTTAGATTCCAACTCTCTAAATTGATTGTACGATGTTTTTTTACAGACATTAAATTTTGCCTTTGATTTTTGCGCAAAAGGTAAAAAATCAGTTTTTTTTCGATTTTCACCTTCAAGGTTGTTTTTTTTCCAGAGAATTTGGACTCAAAACCGGCACTGAAGAATTATCTATCAAAAAAAAAAATTCATCGAAATCGAAGGAAAACTGGAAACGCATAAACAACATCCAATCACACACACACACACACATAGATACACACACACACACACATTTTGAGAATTATAGATATAGATGCACAAAGAATACTCCTTCCCGCCAAAAGTGCAACTTCATCTTTTTATTTCTTGTTGAGAAAGAACAAAGGCGTTTCCAAAAATTCCGATTTTTAAACATCTTTCCCATCATGCTTCCATTTGGTCAAACGGCCAACTAATATAAAGTAAATATTATTAACCTTATTATCAATATTACTATTTTTGTTGCTTTTTATTACTCAAATTTATTTCATCGGCCTACTATATATATATGTCTCAAAAGTCATCTACAATTTGAAGGACGTGTGCATATGTGAAATAATTTATAGACAATTGTCGCTCTCCTTATCTAACGATCATTTTTTGACAAAAAATTATGACATTAAATTCTAATACTTTCTACGTATTTTGATAGATGCCATTCAGTTGTATTATAATTATGAGATATGCGCTATAGGCCACAATTTTGCATCCATTTCCCAGATTTCGAAGAATCTCCGAAAAATTGAAGTTTTGTGTGCCATTTTTCAAAAATTATATACGAGCATGCTCCGAGACAGATGGGACTTTCTCTTTCTGAATATACGATGTCTGTCTGAAAAGTAACGGGACTGGTGTCACAAACAATTTATTTCAATTCCAAACAAGAATCTATATGCTTTCCCTTTCAAATTAACCCCCACACACTGGAGTCTAATGCAATTTTCCATCCTTCTCTACCACGCTTCTATGCACAGCTAGAATGATCCATCTTGAATCCACCTCAGCTCCGTCGTTCCGGCCCTCTTGATCGCCCTCATACGTTCAAAACGGGTCACCTTGATGATGTACTGGGATTATTCCAAACAACAAATTACATGGTTTCCCCTTCAAATAACCCCCCGACGAGTCTAATGCATTTTTCCATCCTACTCTGCTACGCTTCTAGGCACTGCTAGAAAGCTGCTTCTTGAGTGTTACGACCCTCTTGATATCCTCCGCGCCTACAAAACGGGTCTCCTTGATCATCCCCTGTAACTTGGGGAAAAGAAAAAGTCACACGGAACAAGATCAGGTGAATAGGGAGGTTGTTCCAGTACGGCAATGTTTCTTCTCGGCCAGGAACTGCCGGATGCTCAGGGCATTGTCAGCAGGTGCATTGTGGTGGTGAAGCAGCCACGATTTGCCCTACAGCAACTTTCGTCTCTTCTTGCGCACTGAGCTAAGCAAACGACGCAGGATCACTTTGTAGACTTGCTGATTGATTCGCTGGCCATGTGGCAAGAACTCACTGTGGACAATACCTCTCACATCGAAGAACATGGCCATTCCGTTACTTTTCAGACAAACCTCGTATTCACTAATAATAATAATAATATGGTCTCTTTAAACTTTTAATTTTTTTTTTTAATGTGGGTATTACCTAGAATTCAAAAACCAGTAGGCAAAAAGAGCAAGCATTTTAATGAAACACTTCATTCAGTAATAGATTCATTTCGTTATTATTATTATTATTATTTTCTTTGATTTCTGGCGTTTACACATTTCTTTCCGGGTCCCGCCCAGGGACCTAAGTTTAGAAATGGCATCAAGACACTTTCCACTGACAAAAAAAAAAAATTACATAGATAAAGCCCTTCGTAAGGTGTGGGCTCTACTTGTCAGAACATTTTTTTGTATCTCCTTGAGGCATGGACTTCCAGGAATCCATTCAATTAGTCTACTGCAATCTTTTCCAACCAGTCCTAGGGCTCCAACTACAACAGGGATTGTTGATGTTCCCATATGCCACATTTTCGAGATTTCTATTTCAAGGTCCTTGTATTTTGACAGCTTTTTGAATATCTTCAAAGATACATTGCAGTCAGCAGGGACTGCCATATCAACAAGGAGGCACCGTTTTTGTTTGTGGTCTTTAATAACAATATCTGGGCGGTTGGCTTTGATTGTTCTGTCAGTGTGTATTGTGTAATCCCATATGATTATTATTATTATTATTATTATTATTATTGTATATGGGATAAAACTCTTCTGAAAGATAGAATCAATGTAGTCCGAAGTTAGCAATCTTCAATTTTCTGGCGATTCTTCGAAATTCAGGGGGTTGATAAAATGAAAGAAAGTTCAAAAACAGACACACAAAAAAAACAAAAACAAATAATTCTTTAATAATTACCTGTTGAACGATTGTGTCGGGTATGAGGGTAATGGCGCTTGAGGTCATTTTCTCAAGCAACCTCTTTTCAACAGCTCTGTAGAATTCCTCTGCCGATTTTTCGTTGGAAGTGACAGCTAAAGTCTGACACAGTCTCCATGCTTTGCAGCAAGTGGTCTGGTTGACAACTCGCTGTGGAACTCCGCAAAGTACGATTATAGGATTTTTGAGGTAACTACATGATTTCTGAATGAAATCCTTGTTTGACTCGATCATGAACGGAGACAAAATAATGCAGATAATATCTCGGTTCATTTCTTTCCAATGATCCATGTATTTCGCATCCACCATGTATTGATTTACTTTTCCTAAAGTTTTGATTTCTTTGCCCAAAAATCTACCCCACTCCATGCCATCCTTAGCGCATATGATTGATATTTTATTCATTCTGTTTGTTTGTTTTTTCAATGAGATATTCTTTAATATTCTTTTCTTCAAGTTGTTTCGCTTTTATCTAAAAACAAATAATATTAATAATATTAATAATAATAATAATAAACAAAATGATTGACGTAACTCGTCCAATTTCAACAATTTAAAGAAAAGCATGATTTAAGAAAAAAAAGAAAAGAAAAAAACACAATGTTTGACAACGTTAAACAATATGTTGGCAATATGTCTATCTTCTTCAAATTATATTTTTAAAAAGGTTTTCAAGTATAAAAATATATAAATCTACAGCAACAACAACAACAACAATAATAATAATAATAATAATAATAATAATAATAATGATGAGAAAATAGTTAGAAAAGGAATAGACAATTTTACTAACAGTGTCCCAGATAACATCTACATACAAGTTATCCAGATCACCCTACTAGGAACACCCCATATACTAAGAAAAGTGCAATCAATTAAGTGACAATTCTTCTATAGGGCCTATAGACCATAGTTTAGACCCGGCTCTACAGGACACAAAACAGGAAATTCTCAACTACAAAAAGCGCACACAATACAAAGAACTTTATCTATGTAAAATGTGTATCATTTTAGTTTTGTTTTTTTTTTTGCTTTTTAACAGTGGGTTGTTGATTTTTTCACCTTAAAATTAACAAAGGAAATGTCAACATAAATCATGTCATTTCTAATAATAGGTCTTTAATTGGGACCCCGGAAAGAAGGAAATGTGTATACAACATAAATCAAAGGAAACAACAAATAATGAAAAATTAAAACAACATGAAAACAGAAAGAAAAAATAATAATAAAAGAAGGCAGTAATAAAACAACATAATAATAAATAAAAACAATGCAGCAAAAGATATGAAAAAAGAAAGCCAAGGATAAAGCCCTTGAACAGCAACCAACCAGACACAGTTACCCAATGTTGAAAATAACGATGGTAACTGGATTAAAGTCTGAAACTGAAGGTTTTATTCTAGGACATGCCAATTCAAACTGACTGTGAAAATAAAAGCCAACAGGCCTGAAATGAATTAAAAATCATAAAAGAAGAAATTCAAACACTGGTATGAACATCGGTAGCGCTTACTGACACCATAGCAGTACCATCCACAGACAGAGAAATACCTCCATGAAAATTATCGAGAAATTGTTCAAAATACAAAGACCTGGAAATTGAAATGAAAAATTAACAGGATGCGGAGAATGGAGACAGAGACTGTACCAATAAGGAGAACTTTGTAATCATGGAGCTAACAACACACCACGGGGTCTCATGAGAAAAAGAATGGAAAATTTTACTAACGATGTAACTCCCAGATAAACTGATCAACAAAACAAGTTGACCATAAAAAGAAGATCGCCCTACTAGAAACATCACATATACTAAGAAAAGTTCAATCAATTAAAACAGGATGACAATGGAGACAGAGACTGTACTTAATAGGGGCCTAAAGAAAAAAGAATGGAAAATTTTACCAGTGTCCCAGTTTACAAGTTGACCAGACCGCCCTACTAGAAACATCACAGATACTAAGAAAAGAAACAATAACATAATAATAGTTTAGACCCTGGCTCTATAAATAATAATAATAAAAATAATAATAATAATAATAATAAAATAATAAAAAAAATTTTTGTTCACAACTACAGACAGCTCAAAAATATGAAGAGCTTTATTCATTTAAAATATGTTTGATCTTAGTTTTGTTTCTGTTTTTTTTGTTGGGGGTCACAAAAATGATCAGTGGAAAATGTCATGATGTCACATCTGACCTTAAGTCTCTGGTTGGGACCCGAAAAGAAATGTCTATACAACAAAAATCAAAGGAATTAATAATAATAATAATAATAATAATAATAATAATAATAATAATAATAGCCAAGCGATCTGATGTAGCCAAACACCAACAGACAAAACAATCGTAAGTACAGAAAGCAGATTTTATCTGAATCAAAAGGCAGAAAAACTCTCTCCGATTTTGGCATTCAAACTGATTGCCCAGATCAAACCAGAAGACCACATCTAGTTATGTTAAACGAGCAGAAGAAAATATGTGAAATTGTTGTTGTCGCTGTTTCAGCGGACAACAGAGCATAATTGAAAGAAAATAAACAGCTACAGAAATATTTTAAATTTGCAAAAAGAAAATAAATAAAATAAGGATAAAAATGAAAGTAATTTGAAGTATGAAAGCGGCGGTTTTACCCATAATCACAGGAGCAATCGGAACAGTACAAAAAATTAACGATGAGGTGGAAAGGCTTAGAGGAAAGAATTAGAATCGATACGCAACAACATTACTGAAAACGGCAAGATTATACAAAAGAGTCCTAGAGACTTGTTGTCACTTGATCTCCATTGAAAACTATCAGATGCTATTCATGTGAACATGCAACAAGTGATTAATAATAATAATAATAATAATAATAATAATAAAGGGGGGGTTGTACAATAGATGGATTTTAAATTTAACCAGACACAAGCAAAAAAAAAAGAAAACAGAAAAAAATGAAAAAGAGAAAAGAAAAAAGAAAGAAGAAAGAAAAGGGGGTAGAAGATAGAGACAAAGAAAAGAATTTCTAAAATAGGAGAAGACAAAGATTTCAAAGTAATTTTTTTTTCTTTTTTTATGGGGGAAAGGGAAGGGAGAGAGAGAGATAGATATGGGGTAGGGAGGGAAAGAAAATAAATAGTCCATCGACGGGTTGACCTAGAACATACTTCCTTTTACTCGGATATGATAAGTAAAAAAGCACATATTCAAAAAAGATACATTGTCTATTCAATTCATGCAGTGGAACAACGTCATATCATAAGCGTTATAGTGATTTTCTAATCCCGGTTTAGATGTGGCACAAGGACGAAAGTATGGGGCACC